ATCTCCCTTTGAAATTCCTTTGTAAGAGAACTGCTACTTTTAGGAACTACAACATGCAAAAACCACTGAGGGAACATTTTAACCTTCCGGGACATTCAGTTGCTGACCTAAAAGTAGCCGTTATCTTACAAAGGAATTTCAAAAGGAGATTAGAGAGAGAGACTGTTGGATTGCAACTGATAATGCAGCTCAAGATTATGCATCCACCTGGACTGAATCGAGACCTAGATTTCCTGTCTCATTACCAGTTCTGATTTCTCCACGCCTATTACCTCTCTGCATATCTCACCTAATCCAATCATGCCTGCTATTGTCATTCACCTGCTAGTGTGATTTGGCATCTGAAATCACCCCACAGATTCTAGCCATATCTGAAGAAGCTCATTCCCTGCCACATATTTTGTTAGATGTGATTTTAAGGTGCTACTGGAATCTTGCTCTTTCCAGGTGGTTCAGCTACCATTGGGATGGTAGCGCTGAAACCCCACAACAAGAACTTCCTGTTCTGTACCACTTTCCTAATTGAAGTGATGTCAGAGAAGCATCACACAAAGCTGCATCACATGACACTGACTCAGACCTTTGGTCTATCAAGGTCAGTATCGTCTACTCAGATGGGCTGAGGTTCCCAGGTAGAGGTCTCTCCCATCACCTACTACCTGATCCTTTTAACTGGAGAAGCCAGGGATTACACCTGGGACCCTCTGCAGGCCAACTAAATGCTCTGCCACTGAGCCACAGCCCCTCCTAATTCTCACACTCCAAATGTCACCCCAGAGTTCTGGATTGCTGTATTTTGCATTTCTGAGCAGCAGCTCAGTATCTGCAGCACTGAACTTTTAAAGTGGTGTAAGAGCTGAAAGTCAGGATAGACGTATTGGTAATTATCTTTCCTAACTTGGCTATTGAATGATTCGCTTTCTGTTTTAATAGTTCTTCAAAACAGGTGCTTTGGATCTTCCTAAGGTCTAAGGAAAAGCACCATATTTCCCCCCGAGAAGTCCTGTGAAGAGTCATGTAATTCCCATTAAAGCTTTCTGTTGTAAATGAGTTATTTTGTAGTAATCCTATAATTCTTAAAAGTGTAGATAAAGCCGAGGTCCCCATTTTGTATTATAGTGCTCAGTTTACCCCATTAGTTCAGCAGTAATTAACTTGTTGAAGCTTAGAGCTTCAAAAAATAAATGAGATTATTTGTTCAAAATGCCATCAGGCCCGCTTGGAATGACATTTAAATTACATAATGTAAATCAGTTTGACCTGTAAGTCCTTGTCATTATTTAGTGACATTTCTTGCAGAATAAATTGTTTGCAGGTTGGGCAGCCTGGTTATGGAGCTTGGCAGAAACCTATAAAAACAAATTATCCTTTCATTTTATACATCATTTGTTCAGACATTTGTAAAAATTGCTTCGTTTTCCCATAATGGAAAAGTGTCATTCGGTCGTTTGAAGCACATTAGCTGTGTAAGATACAGAGAGTGAGCTTTTTCGTGGCTGCATCAGGCAGAGGAATTCAGAACACCTGGTGCTGCAGACCTGGAACACGCCAGGGAATTGTCCCCCTCTAGTGGCCATTCATTGGGATAACAGCTTCACCAGTTCTGTTACTACTTTAGAGCCAATTTAGAGTCCAGCGGCACCTTTGAGACCAACAAAAGTTTATTCAAGGTATGAGCTTTTGTGTGCAAGGCACACTTTTTCAAATACATTGGAATGGTAGAGCCAGTTCATCTGTCACAGAGAAAGAGGGAAAGAAGCAGCATGGCTGATCCACGCCTCCCCTTTCCCTCCCTCACCAGAAACATCCAAAATTGCACTTGTGGATCTCACTGAGTTTCAGAAAACTGGTCCCGAGTTGGAAGGTTGAGACAGGCAGAGCTGGCCGGTGAAGTGTACGGCCAGGTGAAGAAGCTTGCAGGCAATGCATCCCTCTAAGCTGTGGAGTCTCATGAGCAAAAATCCTACTTTGTGAGCTACTGGCATTAAAGCTGTGAGCGAGCAATTTGGCTGCTGCATAAATTAGTTTGCCCTGGAGCCCTCCTTCCTGAGCTGAGACAAAAATCCGTGAGCCGGAGGCTAAAGAACTGGGAGCTAGCTCACGCTAACTCAGCTTAGAGGGAACACTGCTTGCAGGCCTGGGCCAGTAGAGCCGATATTCAGACTAGAGGGCCTTGTAAGTGTCGTTGCTGATAACCGAGATGGGTAGTCGTGTTAGTCTGTCTGTAGCAGTAGAAAAGAGCAAGCATCCAGCAGCCCCTTAAAGACTAACAAAATTTGTGGCAGGTTGTGAGCTTTCATGAGTCACTGAGCAGTAAGTCACTCACCGAGCAGTGCCTCACAAAAGCTGCCACAAATTTTGCTAGTCTTTAAGGTGCTACTGGACTCTTGCTTTTTTCTACAAGTGCTGATAACTGTATTGGTATCCGGCAGCATTTGCTGTCATGTTTGGCTAGGAATGGGGAGACCTGAATCCCGATCTCCACTCTACTATGGAACGAAGCTCACTGACTGGCCTTGAGCTGGTTGTTCTCTCTTTTGGTCTAGCCTACCTCACAGGGTTGTTGTGATGATAAAATAGAAGCCATCTGATCTTCTTGGTGGAAGGGTGTGATAGAAGTGCAGTGAAAAGTGCAGAGCTCAGTTTTACTGGTTTCTAGCAACCTCAGTCTCTCCCACTTCAGCAGTCATTCTGGCCACAGGTTGTATGACAGCCTCGATGTATTACAAGAAGAGCAGGAAGAGCCAGAGAGCGAGTTGTTTCAGAACCAGCTTCTTTCCTGTTTTGCAATGTATGAAGGAGCGCACAGTGGAATTGCTTTTAACTCAGATGGAAGAGGTTTAGACTGGAGGCCAACTGGAATCCAGGTCGCAGCTCTGCCAAACAGATTTATTTACACATGCCACAAGATTAAGTTCGTATACCAATTCCTGAGAACTCCCTTGGCGGCATTTTGAGTATTTGAAAATGTAATTATAAAATATTAAACTGAAGCAAAAATGATTTTTTTCCCAAGAGGAGTCAAGCTTTAGAAGCCAGAGGAAAAACGGCAATGGTTTTCTTTTTCCATCAAAAGCTAAAATGGCATGTTAAAATATATTATCCCCGCTGTCTGCATGTGAGATTAGCTCGGCCTTATAAGAAAAAGTGCTTGTGTTAAGCCCGCATTCATTCCCTAAAAGTTATCTCCTTCAGAGCTCAGGCAAACATTTATGGCTGTCTCTTAACGTTTTCCAGTTTTAATCACTGAAACTCAGCGGCAAATTCACAGGACTGCGTTTCTGCAGAGGGATTAAATAATGAGCAATAACACAAGCAGGTAGACACAGTTAAGCATAAAGTACTGTTCATAAAACCAGCTTCCTTGGAACGACGACTTTCGCTTTATCCTTGAAACATCCCTCCAGCCTGTTTGGTGTCTGCATAAAAAAAAAACTAGGCAATAACTAGCTAGGTCTTATTGTGTCACATGGACCTGTTTGAATCCCAATCTCTCCTGGGACTGGACCATTATTTTTAAAAAACTCCTTCTCCCCGAGGCACTAACTTTCCACATGTAAGAAGCTTTTCATGAGGGCCCTACACCATTCTGAAGCAGCCCAGTCCCAGGAGGACTGTTCTTTGTGATTTTGTCGAATAGCGGACTCATCTCCTAACTTTTCAATAACCTGGCCTATGGCTTCATTCTCAGCCTTTCCAAAAAACCCCACCATACGCCACACATACAAGGATGGAGAGCTTTGTCGGTGCTGTTGGGGGATACAGAGGTGGCAGAAGTGATGTTGGGGCAGGAAGGATCGACGATGAGGATGCTCCACAGGCAAAAAGTGGGTCATTTGTAGAGGCCTGCAGTGGGGCCAGAGTGAAGGCAACTGTCCTACATGAAATGAAAACCCACCCCCTTCCGATGTGTCATTGTACAATACTTGTACGGTAACAGGGAACTGGAACTCGGTTCAGGGATGTGGATGAAAGTTCCGCTTAGAAGTTCATAACACTGCAGGGGTTGCCCAGATAATATGAATCGATGCAGCACACCAGAGCAATGCATGCCAGCACCTTGCCTACTGCTCTGTCATACACTCCTGTAATAGTTAGCTACTATAAAACTGTGTAGTTTTCCACTGCTTTCTCGGTTACATACATGAAAGTTTGGTCAGGTTGTACGTCTGGTCATTAATCTGTGTCTCCCCCGCCCCAGATTGAATTAAAGTAAGAATCTCCATTTTATTATACTTTCTATGACTAAAAAACATTATCTATTGAGGAACGCTTTCTTATGAAATTAACTCAAGGATAGCGATGTTGGTCAGACTAATCAGAGTCCAGGGCCTTCGTTTTGTTTGTTTGTGTTCTAAATCGGGAATCTCTTGGAATACTAAAGAAATAAGCTTTTGAGTTTCACTCCCTGAATGAGAGCGAGCATTTTGGAAGTATCATGGGATTTATTTATTTTTAGCCTGGCGACGGCAAAAGTGACCGTTTCCAAATGCCACCATAAAAGTTGTTCTGAACCTTTCTTTAGGTCTAACACCCCAAAGAAGGCAGTGATAGCCGGGAGCATGCAGCTTTTGGCAGGAGTCAAGCTGTGCACGGGAAGGGTTTTAACCAATCATCCCCACTACGAGGATAAAAGCCTACGAGAGAGAACGAAACAGGTAAGGAGGCTAAGGAGCTCCTCCTCATCATCATCTCTTGATTCTGATTGTGCCAGCCCAGAGGCCTGGCACCAAGTTCTTGGTGGCCTGGGATAAAGGGAGTTCCATCGGACTCCTGCCTTACCCCCTCTCCAGGACAGTTTGGTGTAGTGGTTAAGTGTGCGGACTCTAATCTCGGAGAACCGGGTTTGATTCCCCCACTCCTCCACTCGCACCTGCTGATGTGACCTTGGGTCAGTCACAAGCTCTGGCACAGCTGTCCTTGAAAAAGAGCAGTTTGTGTCAGAGTTCTCTCAGCCCCACCCACCTCACGGGGTGTCTGTTGTGGGGAGGGGAAGGGAAAGGAGTTTGTAAGCCACTCTGAGACTCCAAGTGAAGGGCGGGGTATAAATCCAATCTCTTCTTCTTCTTCTAAAACTAATGTGGTCACCTACCTCCCTTTGGTAAGCCACCAAAAATGAATTGTCCGTTGCTGCAGAATTCCATAATAAACAGGAACTGGAACTCAGTTCAATGATATGGATGAAACTTTTGATAAGAAAGAGTTGGTAACATTCCATTGATGCCCAGAAAGTCTGTCAAACCAGGGGAACTCGCACCAAGCTTTCAGTTTTTGTCTTCTCCCCTTCCCCGCTTCCCCCCCCCCCCCGGGGGGGAACCCCCCTTCTGAGCTGTGGGGTCCACTCAAAGGTTGGTGAGTTGAGGTCTTTCCAGAGGAGGAATGAGAGCCCTTTAATTACGTGGCATGCTCCTCCTTCTTTCAAGTTTTCTCTGATCCGTTCTCGCTCACCTAGCTTAGCCTAGGAGACATCTTATATATCCAAATGTAGCATTTAAAATCTTTTGTGTTAATTGTTGCACAGATCTCATACGAATATCTGGAGCCCTCTTATACTGAATCATCTCATCAGTTCGTGAAGTTTAAGTGCTGTCTACTGTGACCAGCAGCACCTGTCCAGCACCTCTGCTGGAAAAAAGGTCTTTCCCACCAGAGCTCCGTTGACTGGAGATGGCCAGGGGTCACATCTGGGAGACCTTTCACATGCAAGCCACATGCTCTGCCCCCTCAGTCACAGCTGCTCCCTGAGGAGTTCCTACCTGTATCTCTGGTTACCTAGAAAAACTGTTTTCTTCCGTATACTCCTGCCCTCCTGACTGTCCGATCAATCAAAAAAGCTCGACTGGGTAAATGGGAAAGGGTCTTTTCAGTGGCAGCCCCACAGTTATGAAACAACCTTCCTGGGGAGGTGCACCTGGAGCCCTCACTTTCGATCTCTAAGAGGCAGCTGAAGACTTTCATGTAGGAGTGTATTGGGTTAAAGCAGTCCTAAATTGTGATTTCAAATTTTAGGTTTCTATATTTTTATGAAATCTTATATATTTTATTTACACTGTAAGCCGCCTTGCATGTCGTAGGGGAAAAAAAGGCAGCTAATAAATGTTTTAAATAAATAAATAAATACCTTTGACCGAAGAATGGTACACTTCTATCTGGGATGGTCGTCCTCTTTGACCGAACACGCAGCTTCGGGAGGGAGGGGACACCCGCCTAGCCAGCCAGATCAGCCGAATTGACCCTGGTGGTCGATGGGGTGACACATGGCTACGGCTGTCTTACCAATTTTATTAACTCATTCTTGCCAGTGTTTTTATATCATTACTATGTTATTTGGTTTTAACCTCCTTTACATCAGAATTGTATTGTTTTACTGGCTTTTGCTGTAATAAATTACTGAACTGAACTGAAAATAAATGAATACATTTAAGGGGAGGAAACGTCCAGGTAGGACGCGACGTTTTAGTCTTGGTTCTCCGGCTGCCTTTCTGTCTTCGGTAGGTCTACCAGGTGTATGCAAAAAGGTCACCCGAAGAGGTCTACAGGGTCCTCAGATCCTTCGGCACGGACTTTGTGATTCTGGAGGACAGCATGTGTTACGGCAGAAGGCACGGTCGGGGCTGTCGGCTGCGCGACCTTCTCGACATAGCAAACGGCCATGTAAGTATTAGCAGGAGCCTGTCCTCATTGGCTCCTGGGGCACTCAGTGACTGAGACAGAGTTCTACACCTTGTAGAAGAATTCAGAGTGAGGATCGCATGAGTTCTGTCACACACACACACACCCCGGTTTGGATTTCATGGAATACTCTCAGGCCAGAAATGGGGGGGGGGGCGCAACTTCTGAATTAAGCCGGGGGGAGGGGGAGGTTGGAAGAAAAGTGTAATGCCCAGTTCATCTGTACGGTAGGCTATCGATGCTTTAGTGGCTACTATAGTATTTGGGCTCGGCCAGGAGGGTGAGTAGTTTTTTGTTTTTGTTTTTTATTCTGTAGCAATTAATAATGTTAATTTCCATTACAGACCATGGATGGTCCCGGGGACGACGAGCCTGACCTGAAACCCTCCCAGTACCCTCGCTTCTGCGAGGAAATCAAAAAGAGCCTGCCTTCGTACACGGTGTACTTCACTAAAGTGTTTCAGAATAAAACATTCCACGTTTACAAGCTCGCCAAGCATAAAAAGGCCACTTAGTTCCGCTGTGATCACAGTGGAAAATTCTAAGGAAGCTTTCAAAAAAAAAAAAAAAAGGAGAGAGAGGTCAGTTTTGAAGTGATTTTAACACTGTTTTAAAGTGGTCTACTTTTTAATTACTGTGATAATTCTTGGGGGGGGAGGGGAGTGTTTTGGTGACAGGCGAGATGTGTCCAGAAAGCTTGGGTGGATTACATAAAGCTGGTTCACTAAACCCCCCGCCTAGCATGTACACTGCACAAGTGGTAGGGTTCCAGGCTGAATCCAGAGGGGGGGGGGGGGGTTACACAATCCCATTTAGAACACTAAACGTGCCCCTGTGTAAACCTGTGATTAATGCAGTCTTGTAGCTGGAGAAGGGAGTGCTTGAACCCAAGACTCACTCCCCCAACTCACTACATGTACAGTTTCTCACCAGGCACTTTTGTTAACCAGCTGCAATCTCGTTCCATCAACAGCTAACCTAGGAAATTCTGCTCAGGGTTCCGGCTTGCTCGTGTTTGTCTTGTGACGATGCCGTTCCTTTCTTTCTGTCTTCCCCTTTCCTTAGGAGGCAGATGTAATCTATACCTGCCTGCAAAGTTTAGATTCTGAAATCCCCAATTCAAAACATATTTGCAAGGAAATCCTGTCAATTTCTGTGAAGCTTACTAACCCCAGGTGCATAGAATCACAGCTTTAGCCTCCTTAACATCCAAGCCGAGTCTTATGATAAAGGCCTTGTTGTCATGTGTCTAGGATCTGGAGATGTTTTGTTGCCAAACGCCGGTGAGGATTCTGTAGCGGCTAGCCACGATGCAATGCCTTTTACAAACTCCTGTCCCACCCCAGAACAGCCAGTGCCGTAGGAAAGCATTTGGCCTGTCCTGCCATGGACGGGGGGATGTCCTCTGCTGGCTACTGCCAGAGGAAAGCTGGGACATCCCTCTGAACTCTTTGGACTTCTAGCCAGTGTGAGGCTTTTCCTGTACACCTTTATGTTTTGCCAGCATGAGGCTTTTCCATACAGGGATGATGTTGTTCACTCGCTAGTAATCACATTGGCTTCATGCCACTGCTAAGCCTGCAACCAGATTTTTCGCAACGGCAGCAGGTTGGTCTTACTTGCAACCAAAGCACCAGTCTTGTATGTTTGTCACAGCTCATCCTGATCCAGCAAGCCCCCTCTGGAGCACCTAAGCGTATGGGCGCAAGCTGTCTTCCACTACAGAGCCCCCCGCAGTCTGTGCCTGCTGCCTTTCAGCTTGTGGTTCTTTTCACACCTGTGTTCCTCGGTGTTTCAGTTGTAGTCGTTAACTTGTTTAGATTTTTTTTTTTTAATTCTTCTGCTGTTATGTCCTGGGTAAGTTTTGTTTGTGTGAAGAGTGAAGCATGTTTGTTTGTTTTTTGGTAACGTGGCATGTTGTGATGTCTGCATTTTAACTTTTTCATGGAGGTAACACAAACCAAGACCAAAATACCCCCCCCCCTTTCACAGTTGTGTTGGGTTCCTGTGTTCTGTTTGTTGTAAGAACAATTACCAAACCTAAGCTAGATAACATCAGGAGAATTCAATTGTGCTTCATAGGATCTCGGTGTTTTAAGGGAGAATTTTCCTTTACTGTACATGAAAACGTGTGTCCAAAAGATAAGCACCTCCCCCCAGTACCACAACTGTTTCCTTCCCCATATAAAATAAACCCGTTAATCATTTATGTTCAAGCAGCTAAATTCGACATATCTGTACATTCTAAACTTTTATGAAGTCAGCCAACTTTACTCCACATATCTGTACATTCGATCTAAACTTTTATGAAGTCAGCCAACTTTATAATGCTGCATTTTTTTAAGAAAGTCACTGTGATGATGTTTTTAATGCTAATTTTAACATTTTTATATGAAACTAAGAGATGTGGCTTTTCTTTCTGATCACGGCGAGATAAGCCACCCAGCCACCATAGGTATAGCCTCTCCAATTAAATCCCCCCCCCTTTATTTTGCAGTGGGGCTTGCCAAAGGGACATCCCCCATAAGACTGTGGCCAGTTTTAACTTCTAAAGCAAAATGCAGTGGGAATCAAGTGCCTCTAGGAAACAGCAGGAACATATTGGGTCTGCTCAAATAATTTGCATCAGAAAAGTATTACAATTAATTTTGTAACGATGGGAAACTTAACGGGGCTCCAGCTAGCTTCTCCACCTTTTTATAATTAAATCAAGATGTATAATGAGATTAAAGGTCCCTAACTGAGCTCTGTTCCATTTCCCAATGATTTAAATACGTTCCCCCCCCTCCTGCAGTTGTTCCCAGGTAAATTGCTTGCCGGACTAGATAAGGTTCTGTCAGCCACCCGCAAAACAATTTCATATTTAGGTAAGTATTCCATTAAGTAATATGCAAGATCCTTCCACGCTCTCATACCACCACCACACCAAAAAAAGAGAAAGAAATAAAAAGCTGGCTTTAATCAATTTGGATTTAAATCAAGGCTGGATGTGGGCCATGTTTCTCTTCCACAAGCCAGCAAAGCCCCTGAATAATTTCTAGTTCGTATCCCTTAATGAGGTTGGAGCCCATTGCCATTTCGACATAATATAATAATAAAACATTTTAATAAGTAGTAAAACTTTAATTAAGCCTGTCGTGACGCGTGCCTGATCTTGCTGGGAGCGGGGGTCACGTCAGCGGATTGCTCTAGGAGAGTGCCTTTGCTAATTCAGGCTAAGTACGCATAAGGCACCGTCATGAGTTAGAGAAGGTCGCCCTATTTTGAAGGCACTCGGTGTAATCTGCCCAAGCTGTGAGCTGTTAACGCACAGCACCTTCTGCTTCAGTCCTCCAGGAGAATCCACAGGGCCATGCGGTTTCATTTTAAAGGACGGTATGAGCTGCTCAGCTCAGTCTTCTGCATTCACTGTCGGGGTTGTGCCATTCTCTCTCTCTCAAACTCCCGACCCTTGTGCCGCCCGTTTCTGTATTTGTACATTATAATGTTATCCATACAAATGTGATCTGAGTCCTTTTATCAGAACTGTCAAGTGCCAAACATAGAATTTTTCTTTTTTTTTGTCCTTGAATGTGAAATAATGTATATGTTGTGTCTGATGAAGTGGGCTCTGCCTTAACAAGATCTGATGCCACAATAAATTTGTTAGCTGTTATCAAGTGCCACAGGACTCTTTGTGGTCTTGGCTACCGCACAAGGACAAGGCTGACCTGACCTGGATAGCCCAGGCTGGCCAGAACTCGTCAGATCTTGCAAGCTAAGCAGGGTGGGCCCCGGTTAGTACTTGGATGGGAGACCATCAGGTCCTACACGGAGCCAGGCAACGCCAAGCCACCTCTGAACGTCTCTTGCCTCGAAGACCCCATAAGGGGTCACCATAAGTCAAGCTGCAATTGGATGGCAGGAAAAAAAACCCCACCAAGTGCTACAGGACTCTTTGTGAAATCGGGTCTGGGACTTTCCCCTTCTAGGAGCTCTACTGAAGGGAGAAGCTCGGCATCGATGCCACTTTGCCACTTAATTAGTCACTGTCTCTGCCATGAAGCAGGAGATGGTGTTGCCACGCACCTGCTGAATCTTTTGTGGGGTGTGTGTGTGTGTCAGTTTCATTTACAGGAGCCAAGCTCCCCTGACTGATGGCGAGTTGGCTTCCTAAGGTTTTGCAAATAACGTTGCCTTGGACCCTCATCCGTGTTCAAATATTTCCAAAGCAAAAGGGGGCAAGAAAACGGGGACGGCTAATGCCTGCGATGGCCAAACTAAGGCTACAATCCCAGCCACGCTCAACCGGAAAGTAAACTCCCATCGACCACAGAAAACACTCTTAATCTCAAGGTTTAGGCGGCACACATGCACGGTCTCAAAGCGGAAGGAAGCCCCATCTCTTCCGACCAGTATTTAGTGTTCCGCCTTCTGCTTGACTCTTTGTTCTCTTTTCTGTCCTCAAGAGGGAAAGATGTCCCCTAGGCATGTTGTTGTTCAGGTAGTTAATGCTTTTTTAGCGTGGTAAAGTCTGACATTCTTACAACCACTCGTCCTTACATGATGGATTTGACGAATCTTCTGGCTTGGCTGCCTGTCTGGGCCTGCGAGAGCCAGCGCCTGGAAGGTCACAGTACGTGACCAACCGAGATCCATTTCGGTCTGCTTGACGGAAAGATGCAGAAGCCTCCTTTGGGCATATGAACAGGCCCTTTCTTTCATTTCTCTATTTTCTCATCATTCGTTCCCCTATGTTGTGCTGGCATCCACTGCTGTGACATTGTCCTTTAAATCTGAACACATGAAGCTGCCTTATACTGAATGAGACTCTTGCCTACTCAGATTGGTTGTCGCTGTCCGGGGTCTTAGGCAGAGTTCTTTCACATCACCTGTTGCCTGGTCTCTTCACCTGGATATGCTGGGGACTGCAGCTGGGACCTTCTATGGCTGGGCCATGGCCCAGTTAGGGCTGCCAAGCCACGGCGGGGGATCTGCACGTCTTCACAGGATCCCTGCCGCGGGGGACAGCGATACGCGTTGCACCGCCGTCGCCAGGATGTGACGCTACGCGTCGCTCTGGCAACGGGACTCCAAACAGCCCCGTTGCCAGAGCGACGCGTAGCATCACATCCTGGCGACGGCAGTGCAACGCGTATTGCTGTCCCCCGCGGCAGGGATCCTGTGAAGACGTGCAGATCCCCCGCCGCGGCTTGGCAGCCCTAGGCCCTGTCCTCCGGTATCCTCCACCCAACTCTGTTACGACAGTTACTGCACAAATCTGCAGGCTATTTAAGACTGCAGTGTAACTATGCTTCCTCAGAAGTAGGTCCATTTGGTTTCAGGTGGCTCAGAGGTTAAGACGCTGAGCTGCAGACCGGAAGGTCTGTAGTCCGGCAGTTCGAGGCCCTAGTGCCGCGCGACAGAGTGAACTCCCGTCTCTGGCCCCAGCTCCTGGCAACCGAGCCGTTCGAAAGCAAGAAACTGCAAGTAGATAAATAGGTACCGCATCGGTGGGAAGGTAACGGTGTTCCGT